CTCTACCTCTATATATCTCTCTCTTACCTACTTCTCTCTCTCCTCTATATATCTCTCTCTTACCTACTTCTCTCTCTAACATGCTCCTCCATTTATTATATATATATATATATATATATATAATTTTTTTTTTTTTTTTTTTTTTTTTTTTTTTTGGTTAGAACTCTCATTTTCTTTTTTCAGCTTTCTCTCCCACTCGTTAAACTGTGACCTGACAATGTCTCTCACTTCCTTTTTAAGGTTTCTCGGGTGTTTTAGTCATTTATGTTATTGAATTAATTTTTTATGCTATTCATAGGCATGTGATGATCACAAGTATAGGCGTGCACCCAAATTTTAAGCATAATCTAGTCTACAAAAAATAAAATAAAATTTAAATACAGTACAAGCTCTTGAAAGTGGGAGTTGAATGTAAAATAAAAATTATAGATAGATTATTTAAGATTTCAATAATAAAATGGAATGTCTCTATAAATTTCCCATAAAATAATTTCAAGGTTCAAATGCTTTTTTAAATGAAAAATAGATAACCACAAAACTTGCTAAAGTTTTGAAATTTAAGATGAACTCTTCTTTATTGGAATTGAAGAATATGAACTTTACGAGATAATATCAAGTAAATAAATATTTAAATTTTACTCTTTGTTTTCCGGAATATGTCTAATCAAGATGTTAGTTGAAAGCATGTCAATAGCCATTCTTGAACAACAATTTCCCTAGCAGCAATTTGCACCATGCAATTCACTTGTTATGTAGAAATAAATATTTCACAATTTCATATCATTGTAGATTAAATGAAACCAAAATAGCATGCCAATTTTATTTATTTCTAATTTCATATCATTGTAGATTAAATGAACCAAAATAGTATGCCAATTTGTAATGGATTTTCACTAGAAACATTTTCTTCCATGCATTCCGATTGTAATGACTAATGAGGAATACTGGTATATATTGTAGAATAAATCAAGCCCTGTATAAAAAGATGCTAATTATCTAAATGTGACCGTTGGAATAGTGTCAGTCATAATGTCACGGCCAACATTGTTTTATTTTTAATATTATATAAATAATTTTGATATGAAAATACGGGAGTACCCACTTCACACAATAACATGCTTAATAAAATTAAATAATATTTATGATAAAAACGAAAAAATTCCTCTAAGTTGTCTAGTTAAGATCAAACACTTAGAGGCTAACTTGACATTAAGACTAAAGTTATCCCGACCATCCATTCAAACCAGATAGTTGGAAATAACAAACAAAGATATGTCGGTGTCCACGTATAGAAAGGTTGCCCTTATTTATTTATTTATCTATGTATTTATGTATGTGGGCCACAAGGGAAATTTTGGCAAAGGTAGAGTATATCTTCTATGTAGTAAGGGAAGAATAGAAACATTTCCCTTAACATATTAACTTATTAGATGGTGAGAATGGATGAAGAAAAAACTACGAGTTGAAAAGAAAAAATACAAACTTGGAGGAGAGATTAATTGTGGATATTCTAACATTTTACCTAAATCTTATGAACTTCTCAAGCTTCTTGTACCGAGAATATTTCTTTCTCCTTCTTGCTACCATATAACTCCTCTAATTTTCTTTTCGTTTACAGAGTACTATGTTGATTATTGTTGTTGTTCTCACTCTCTTTTCTCTAGGTTTATCTCTTTCTTATATCCATTTTCTCTATTTTCCTTTTTTCATGGAGGCTCACTTTAACATTTATATAGGCTTCGACGAGCATGTCTCTTAGTTGAGACAATTGTTCATAGTTGGAGCAATTGTCATGGTGTGGGTGACTAAAAACTACCTAATGTTTTGTAACAATATGTGACAAGCGTCTTTATGAAATAGTTGGTAATGCACTTGGCATATGAGTTGAGGACGTGTATGTGAGGAAGTGGGCTTTGTACCTTGTTGGACTTGGATGGTCCACCCCATGTAGGTGGATGGACTTCTATAGAATTAGATTAATTTCTATGGGTTGAGGAATAAGAGGTTATTTTTTAATAAAGATTGTTAGTTAAAATCTTATCCAAAAAGATATGAATAGCTCGATGGGGTAAACTAGATAGACTTAGATAACCACATGTGGAGAGAATAATGAGAGTGATGGCCACTTTTTCAAAATAAGGTGACTTAGTTATACACAACTCATCCCAAGCCTTCCTACCTCTCTCTTCAAAGGTGCTGGAAAGACCCATGTCCCCGTCTCTCTTCCCTTTTCAAGAAACTCTAGTTACAAATTCCCTCATGGCGAAAGCAAGGACTCTTAGGCCATCCATTGAAGTTTGGGATTTGTGTTTTATGATTCAAGCAATCAAAAGAGGGAAACTTGAGGAAGTGGCATCAAACTCGATATATGAAAGGGGACAATCAACTTTGAAAAGGGAGACCGGATCTGTAAAAGTTATGTAACCTCCATCTGATCCCAATATAATACATTTTTATTGTTGTTATGTTGCACTGGGACACCTCTGATGTCTTGCAATGATATTGAAGTAACTCGAAGGAGGTTGGCTCTTAGATATGATTGTTTTTAAAGCAATTCAATGGAGGTTTGCTAGATTAGCAACATGAGAGAATGGTTAGTAATATGAACCAGACTCTCTGGTCTCTTCTCTTCAACCTTTTCCCCGCTCCTGACTTCTAGCTCTTTATTCTTTTGTTGATTCTCTCTTTCTTTCGGCATTCTATTATTTTTTTATCATGATATTTATGGCTCGTAGCTCTTGGAGCTATGGAGCTTCCTCTCGATCCAGTTTTGGTGCGGTTCAAGACTTTGACTCCAGAGGTAGAGGTCAGCAGGTTGGTCGTAACAGCAAGCTCTCTAATGGGTTTTCGAAAGCGCATCGCCCTCGTCGAGATGGCTTTCTCTTCTTAGGGCTCCTAAGGTTATTCACATTGCCCCTACTACTTTTATCCATTGGCCCTATAGACTTGAGGTTGCAATGGTGGGATCCTTCTGTCCCCCAATAGATGACTTAAGCAAATTTGACCAGTGGGTGCTCAAAGCTTGGAAATTCAAGATTGATAGTAAATATATCCCAGGCAATAGATTACTCACTCTCTTTGGATTCTTTGAGGATGCTAAAAAGATTGCGAAGCAGAGGTTATTGCATAGGCATGGATCTCTGCTCTCTCTGAAGTGGTGGAACTCCACAGCTAATCCCTCTCTCATTAAGCCTTCATCCTCTTGGCTTCATGTTGAAGGCATTCCCGTTTCAGGCTTGCACAAAGGAAGTCTTTGAAAAGATTTTGAAGGGATGAGGCAAACTCGTCGAGATTGATTGGGTCACTACGGCTGGTCTATCTTTGGCACACTTAGAGCCAAAGTATTGCTCACCCTGGAAAGCATTCTACTAGACTCTCTGGTTCTTAAGTTTGACGAAGAATTCTTTAAAGTGACCATTTCACAAGAGTCTCAAATTCAAAATGCTCATCGCTCATCTTCTCTAGTGGCTCCACCGACAGAGAAAGGAGTTTCCTTTAAAGGCAAAGAACAACCTTGCGAGGATGGCCAATGGCAACTAGTTACTAGGAATAGAAAGAGAAAATAGTCATTTGGAAAATGTTTGACCCGCAAAAAGGTGCTCAAAAAAGTTTGGAGGCAGAAGGGTTTGCGTCTTGACACATGTTCTTTCGAGATAATCAACGCGTGGACCTACTTTCCATCTGGCGATTGCCAAGCCTAAAAAGGTGATGCTTGGAAAGTCGAAAGTTGTGGAGTCTATCAACGACTACAAACCCTTGGGTTAGTGGGAGTTTGGTGAATTGTCGCGATCAACGGTTGCGAGGCCACTTAAGATCTTCAATCACATGCTCGATGCTATCTCGGGGCCTTTCAAATCCATACTGATGGTCCTTCTCCATACGACATGTACTAAGGTGGCACCCCAGTGCGTAGGAGGCACAAAAGTGGTGTTTCTTCCTTGTGAGAAGATGGAGGGCATCCTTGGCAAGTCACCCTCAACGAATACAATTGAGGTTCGCCATCCTGAAAAGAAGGATTCTACGGTTCCTACTGAAGCCCCTCCTAAGATTTCTCCGGTGATCAAGACGTTGCCTTTGCCATATATATATCTCCAAATGGTGCATGTTCACCTTCCTGATAGGCCTTCCTACAAAAACCAATCGATAGAGGCTGGTCTGCCATTAAACCACATTTGTCTCTGGTTTTTACTTTCACCCTTTGTCTTCTTTTCTAAATCAAGTTGGAGCCCTTTTAACTCTAAGTCTTCTCCCCCGATGGCTCACCAAATGATCACTTTAATCGAACTTTCTAAAGAGGTACCTATCCTTATTGTCAATCTTACTTTGATGGAGGAACTTCTTGAAAGGCCTACAACCATGAAAATCTCTCTGTGGGACATAGCTATGCTTGGGGCCACATCTCTGTTATTGTGCCGACCATGGAAGAAAAGCCTGAGGATCTCTCCAAGGCTTCGTTTATTGCCAGAACCCCATATACCCCCCATCGTTGTCACTGAATCTTCGGAGGATCTCCGTAATTGGGTGCCAAGCAAGTATGAAAAAGAATAAGGTTGTGAGGGATAAAGCATCGAAGATGGTTCAAGGCATGGGTGTTCACGTTAAGGGGACATTCGAGGTTGTCGAGGACGCACTGGAGAGAGTCGAAGTTGATTTGCAATCAGAAAACATGCCAAGAAGGCTGTGCTCAAGACTTTAATGGGAGGCTAAAGCCCTTACAGTAGAGCTACCTTTTGATCCTCTTGTTGCTTGCTCTTTGAGAGTCACCAAGGGAGGAAAGGACTTCAGGTCCTCATGAAGGTGCTCTCCTGGAATATTAGGGG